TTCCTGCTCCTCTGATGCTGCTTGGCCTGCTGTGTTCATCCAGCTCTACACCTTGTTATCTCATGAGAAAAACCCATCTGGTTCACCAATGTCCTTCAGGAAGGGAAATCTATCACCTTTACCTGCTCTGGCCTATATATGACTCCAGATCCACAGTGACGTGGTTGATTTTTAACTGTCCTTTGAAATGGCTGAGCATGCCACTCAATTCAAGGGCAATTAGGGATGGAGGACATATGCTGACCTTGCCAGCGACACTCACATCCCATCAACAAATATTTAAAATATTTTCTGAAGAGATCTGAATAAGATTTGTCAGCTACAAGATGCAGTGCAGCAACTTCTTCTGACAGCACCTTCCAAACCTGCCACTTTTACCTCTCTAGAAGGATAGGGCAGCAGATACATGAGAACACCACCACCTACAAGCTCAGTAAATGAACAGTAAATGCTGGCCCAGCCAGTGGCGTTCACTTCTCATGAGAAAAAAAAATAGGTTGGGACCCCTTTTCCCTCAAAAAGGAATAATGTGATAGAGTTCCTTAAAATGATGAAGAGGTGGATATAGAAAACTTGCTTTTATTTATGGGAGAAGATGTCTGAAGTGAAGGGGCCATGAAAGAAAATTATAACTCATACATTCAGTAAAACAATCATTCCTAGAGAGTTGTCAGATATGGTCTCTTGACCATAAAGAGATGAATAGCAAAATGACAAGTAATGGAAAGCTTGCTATTTACACAAGGGAAAAAGGAATAAAAGGTTTTACGCATAAATAAAGGTAGGTAATATATTTATGCTGTGATAATTAAAGTGGCTCGAGCTTTGAAGCATAAAGGCTAGTATAGAACAGATGGTCCAAATGAACTTTAGAGCACTAAATCATACTGGATTGTTTCTATGTAAACAAATAAGACCCTGGTGTTTTTGACATGGTGGATGTGATGACAATGTTTATGGCAAAATTACATCTGTTTCAAAATAAAGTGGCTCCCATTTAAAACAAAGATGAGGACAGTTTTTTTCTCTCAGTAGGTCATGAGTCTTTGCAACTCACTTCCACAAAAGATGGGGACAGCAAAGTCCTTGAATGTTTTTAAGGCAGAAGTGGATGAACTCTCAATAAGCAATGTGATGGAAGGGTATCGGGGTAGATAGGAACATGCAATTATCTGATCAGCTATGATCTTATCAAATGGCAGAGCAGCCCGAGGGGCTGAGTAGCCTACCTCTACTCCTAGTTCCTATGTTTGTAATTCAGCAGTTCTGGTTTGCTGTTGGTCACAAGCTCCCAAAACTGATCTAAACGGAGAAACTACTGAGTTATCAACCTGTCCCAATCCCACAGAAAGATCTCGAGTTACAATCAGCATGAACAACTCAAATTATCAAAGTTATCAAAATAATCTCACACCCAACTATCAAGATCTATGACTCCAGCTATCCCAACTCTATCCAAGGTCAACATCACCTAGAGAAAGAAAAATCTTGTATTTCTCTAGAGCCTCTCATAACCCCAGGATGTCCCAAAAACCTCTGCAGCCGATGAAGTAATTCAGAAATGTTGTCACTGCATTCAGTTTGCATGCAGCAAGCTTCACCAGCGATAGCCTGATCACAACCAGATTGTCTCTTTTGTTGATGCTGTTTGAGAGTTAATTATTGGCGAGTCCTTCCGTAATCCTCATCAAAAGAATATCTTAGGATCTTTTCTATCTGCTGAGATGTTGCCTCAGTCTAACATCACAGCTGAAAGATACTTCCAAACAATATAACATGCAATGTCTCAGTGGTAGCATTCTTGCTTCTGAGTCTGAAATGTTCTGGGTTCAAATCCCACTTCAGAACTAAAGCAGACAAATCCAGGTTAACAGTGCATTGTCGTAGATGTCATCTTTCGGAGGGGCTCTAAAACCAATGCTCCATCTACTTTCTTATATGTCAACACAAGATCCCATGAGACTACTCCAAAGAGGATCAAGGGAGTTATTCCCAGGTGTTCCCTCAAACAACAGATCACTATCGCATTGCTCATTTTGGGAGCTTGCTGTGTGAAGAGTGGCTGCTGCATTATAATGATGACTATGCTTCAAAGTGGTTGCAAAGTGCTTTGATATGTCCAGTAGTCATGTATGGAGCTATACAAATTCAGATCTTTCTTTTCAATTACACTGGAATGTTCACCTGAATGATATGCTGATACCTTTGGGGGTGGGACGTGACCTGTTGACCTGTGCCTGAGAGGTGACAGTATTGGCCTCAGTGTCACAGCCCGGGATGATAAACTCCTCAATCCATTCCCTCTCTATAACCACATCCAACTGTCCTCAAATGCTCCCACACAGTCACTCCAATTTGCCCTGGAAAACTATCCTGCTGTTCTGGCTGGAATGTTCCTTGCAGTACCCTTTTTTCTTGCATTTATGAATAATATCTAGGCTGACACATCCTACTGCGGTGCTGAGAGTGTGCAACCACTGTCACAGGTTTCAGATGAGGCATTAAACCAGGGCTGCCTGGACTTCTCAGATGGTAGTAGATCCCATGGACCTCTTGAAAGAAATCTGTATTCTGGGCAATTATCCTGCAAAGAGCATCACTAAAAAGAGTGTACAAACACAAACCTTTTCTGTTCTTTCTAATTTCTTCAACCTTAACTCATGGTTCTGAGTCTTCCCTGTATTTAGAGTCTAAACGCAGAAATTCCACAGCAGAATGACTGACTCATAGCCTTCTGTGATATTAATGCTGGTGGGTTACATCATCACATGACACACAGAAAGATATTACGAAGGAAATGCCACAAATATGTGCTGCAGTGCTCAGTGCGCCTCTCCAGGTCATTTACAGTAACAAGACTAAATGTGTACCAGCTTCTTTTGTGGTTGCCACTTCTATTTCATTTGAATTCATATTGGCTATATTATGCTCAATGCATTTGGAACTGGTTAAGGATGATGAAGTTATCAGCTAGTTGCAATACTGGATGAAAAATTCTTGCAATTGTGGTTGCTTTTGGCGGTTTCCTCACTTCATATTTTAATAATGTTTGCTGTCAGTAGATTTAGAAAGATCTCCAATGTCATGGTTTTTATTGCATATTATACTTTGGGTTTTTACCCAAAAATTCTTGGATGTAGTCATTGGGACACAAAAGGAGGAAGTTCGGCCCACTGAGCCCATCTTAAATGACTTCCTTTGGAGCTGTAATTACTTAATAAGTTATACTGTAATTACTTGAACATCCGTGGTTTCTAATTTCATCCGGGGAAGGGTATTTAAGAGTAACAGCCAAGTTGGGTAGATGGGGTTACAATACATATCAGGCATGACCTGATTGTATGATGGAACAGGCTTGAGAGGCTGAATGGCCACCTACTATGTTTTATATTACCATGGCAACTGCTGGGGTTTCATAACACTGGAGAGTTCTGTAAAGCAGTGTCAAGATTCAGATACGTGTCTGGATTCTGGATGCCCTTTGAACGCTCGCAGTGGTCTATGTTCCAGTGAATGCAATCTATCACTCAACAAACAGTCTACTTAAAAAGCACATGACATAGATTTTACAGACTGCTTAGTCTAAAAGACAGCTATGTGGACTACAGTGAATGGGGTTCGTGACTGAAACTGCAGCAATCTCTCCTGATGAAAGCAGGCTTATTTAGTCATAGAGATCCACAGCATTGAAAAAGGCTCTTCAGCCCATCAAAAACAACCACTTAACTATTCAATTCCCATTTTCCAGGTCTTGGCCTATAGTCTTGCAATGCCAAGACATACAAGGACACATCTAAATGCTTCTTAAATGTTATGAGGGTTTCTACATCTACCACCCTTACAGGCAGTGACTTTCAGATACCCACCATCCTCTGGATGAAAATATTTTCCTCACATCCCCTCTAAAACTCCTGCTCCCTTACCTTAAATCTATAACCCTGGTCATTGAACCCTCCACCAAGGGAAATGTTTCTTCCTGTCCACCCTGTCAATGCACCTCATAATTTTATACATCTCAAATTATGCACCCTCTCAATCTCCCCACCTCTAAGAAAAGCAGCCCCAGTCTATCCAATCTCTCTTCATTACTGAAAGTCTCCAGCCTGGTAATTCTCCTCTGCACCCTCTCCAGTGCAATTACATCCCTGCTATAATATGGATTCCAGGACTGCACACAATACTCTAGCTGCAGCATATTCAACATTTTATACAGTTCCAGCATAACCTTCCTGT